GATAATCTAATTAATTGCTAATCTATTTCATTATCACTCTATTAGACTAGTAAGCAAGTATATAAATTCAATTAAATAATGTCTTAATTTTTAACTGCCATTTAAATTAAAGCAAATTGAACCATTTATTTAAATTGAAATACTTTAAATTAATGATTAATGTGTACCTTTTCACTTTTTATAGATTTAATGAAAAGACCATTACAATAAAGCTAATTGCCTGCATGTCACGTCACATCATTCTTTGTACTATTTGTTGATGTTGACATCTTTTGTGCAACTATGATATATATCGTTTATTTAAAATGCCATTTATTTATTCATCTGCCTGTAATTGATGTTTCAGTATGTTTGCTATATTCAATTGGCATTAAACAAAAAAGTAAAACATTCGAATGATTCTGTAAGAAAGGCTCTATTTTTTTCTCATGTGAATAGTTATCTGGATTTTTTCAAAATTTCAAAAATAATGAAGAATCTGCCAAATAAATTTTTTTTCTGTTAATTTACTTTTTCCTTTATTTTTTTGTTTATTTACATTTTTACTGCATTGATTGGTGTTGAGTTTTTCGACATTGCTCAACAAGTTATGAATTATTCTGTTGTTATTTGTTTAATGAAAGAAACAGAGGTGGCTTACTTATGAGAATTCAATTAAAATTATCCTTGCTATTTTTTTTCACATTTTCAACTGCTTATACAGAACAGTGCAATCTATCTATCTATCTGTCCTGCATGTTTTGCATATAACTTTAAGTTCATGATATTAATTAAGGAAATGCAGAAACGTTTTAAATTATGATGACAAAAGTTGAAACTTTGAAATTTAGATTTCAAATTTTGAAGAGATAACATTCAAAACTGGTTTTATTGACTACTTTAGTTGATCTGGAACTTCAGTTACATATACCTGTCTTAGGTGCTTTCCAGGTGATGCATGAGAGATAACATTACTTAGATTTTAATATGTATTTGAAATGAATGGAATTAGCAGGAAGAACGCCTCGTACATGTATGACATCCTTTTAAGATACTTGGTATCATCTGAAAAAAGATTGTGTTGAAAGGCACGGAGGTGGAAAGGTATTATATTTAATGGATAAATAAGTTTTGTTGGATGCGCATGCAGTAGTACCTACATGTTCATCTTTGGATGTTTAGCCTGCAACTATCAATAACTTGTGGAGATTGAAATAAAAGTAAAGGTTTCAGCTATAATGCCAACATTTTGAGAATTTGCAACTTCTGTTATTAAAGACTTCAGTGCTTTTTAAAAAAAAATTGTTGCGATAAACAATATTGTTAATAAAACTTTTAGCCAAATTGTTATTTCTCTTATTAATTATGTTTGAACGTTGTGTTTTTTTTTGTTTCAGTGAATAAGAGGGTAGGTTAAGATTAGTTAAGCTTCACTAAGCAAGAAGACTGCTTGGTTACATTGTTTCAAATGAATCGTACCTGACATTTTATTACTGATAGTGCATGCGTGTTTGCGTACAATCACTCGCTCGCTAATCATCACTGATAGCTACTGACGTGGCAGTGCTCTCTTTTGTTTAACGTTCATAAATGTGTTTCCACTGCTTCTCTGTTGAAACCAAAACATTTTAAATTTGACGTCTCACTCGTGCTCGCTTGATGGCGGGAAAGTTTGCAGGGTTGGGTGATTTGTTTTGGTTTTTACGACTAAGACAATTCTGAAATGATTTCCCTCACTTCGACAGCAGTTCATTTTGAGAAGTGTTTTTTTTAAATATAAAAATATGATTTGTGTTGCAAGCAACTAGTTATCGTCGTTGACTTGATGAAGTGAAACAATAGCAATCACAATAACAACATCGCTATGTGAATATAGATTGGGCATAGTAATAATAAATTTTCAGGTAATTAAATATTCACTACATACCCACATGCTGTTTGTACCTTTGAAGGTATGTGCTTAAATGCTGCTGTGCCTACAAGCCTGTTCTATACTCGCATGTGAATATATGCATATTTCAACCATTGGTTTGTCTTCGTTGCATATAATACCATACCACTTGCACGTGTGTATGTGTATTCGTGCGTGTGTGTGCTTGTGCGTGTTCGCAAGGGCTGCATTGTAAATGTACATTCATAGGTTTATTGTAGAATTTTAATGATTAGAATAGAAGTGACTTTGTAGTTGTCCGCATCTGCATACTTAAGTTTCGCCCTCAATATTGCTTGTTTGTCTCTGCTTATAGTCAGTGGCATCATAGATCGTGATGTTAGTTTCGTCTGCATGAGGTCATGAATTGATGGATGCATGTTTGTTACTTCGTACATATCTTTTAAAGTATGAAGTCATTTGTTCAAGATGAGTAAATAGTTTTTAAGATAATTCATTCTTCCATTCATTTGAAAGGATTCATGTTTTGCTTTAATAAGCTTGCAGTCCAAGTTAATTAACATATCAAGGTGGTTTCTTCTTATCTGAGACCTATTATATAAACACTGCATTCACTGCAAGTTGATAGTTGAATACACGTTGGCTCACAAACACAACAACAACAGAGCCTTCCCTACACGTCTACAAACATGCACGAGTCTGTATAATTATATATTAAGTAGATTTCATAAATTACTGCAATAATTATATATTTATATATATTTAAAGGCCGTCGTATTGCTAACCTTATGTTTTCATGTATTATTATGCAAGTGTGTCTATATGTAATCATAGGATTTATATTTATTTACCTAGTTGTACAGCTTATTTGTATATATATATATATATATATATATATATATCTATATGTTGTGTGTATGTTTATATATTTATATGTTCTTGACACACTCATGTATATGTTGAATGCGTGCAACATACATATGACACCCTTGATGTTTGGGAATGAATAGTGTGAGAATGAATTAAACATACAGTATAAACTGTAGTTAATTTAAATGGTAGAGCTGCCTGAATTTAATACATTCAAATGTCTCATTCAGTGGTCTGTATTGTTTAATCTTTTGCGTGCATGTGTGCGCGTGTGTGCGTGCGCGTGCACTGGCTAATGTTTTGCATGTCAATTGAATTTGATTTATGTAGCTGTTCATTTGGATGCATTATCGTACTGTGCATACCTCTGCTAGGGTTAATTATCCATTCATTGGTGGTGTGTTTTAAAATTTCAAATCTTTACCTCTGGCAAAGAGCAATTTAAATTTTAACTTAATGCTATTTCAATTAAGTCTTCATTGCACTTTCCAGTCGTACGTTATTAAGGATTTAATGTAGGTACACTAATGCATGGCATATTTAAATGTTTAAAGGTTTCATTAATTTTTTAATTTCCTACCTATCATATTAGTCATTAGATAATGCTGCATCAAGGTATGCAAATGTGGAGATGACTAAATATAGCTGGCAATTATTTCTTTTAAAGGTGGTGCTCTAATGCTTTGTCCTCATTTTCAACACTTTCTTTGCAGGAATTTTTTGCAATTTATTCTATTCTATGGTTTTTTGACGGTAAGTTAGTTTTTTGCGTGTTTGAGTTTGTTTCTGCTTGACTATAGTTTTTAAAATACTTCGGTTTTCAGATCTCATTGTAACCTACTGTAAAACCCAGCTGGAGATCTATTTAATAATTTTATTAACGACCCATTGTCTTTCAACAAATTGAAGTCTTACTTAACTTGGGGTATGCAACATTAAATGCTTCATTGATTTTCTCTTTTATAATCTTTGTACTGGCTTTGCCTACCTCTATAAGATTTGCATTGCATTCAGTATTTATAAGTTACATGTTTCTTACAGATATGAAAAATTTGTGTAATTTTATTTCTTACAGATTCATGAAGACATCAAAGCATTGTTAACAACATAACTTTTCTAGATGTCATTCAATAAAGATTCAAGTGACTTTTCTGTCGTTCAGTATCTACAAAATGCAATTCTTCAGCTATGTAACGAGCAGGTATCTTACTCAGAGTCATTGCGTGTCCTCGGTGTTCTGTGCATAACAGCTGATAACGAGCAGTCAGAGTTCGTCATTAAAATCAACAGCACATTGAAAAGATTAAATTCCTTGACTCCACCCAAAGAAAACTCTCCGGGTTACAAATCAAAATCACTCCTCATACTGAGCCCGCAAGAAAATGACGTGTCTAAGGATGCTAACGATCTGGATAACGTGCAAATCATTTCACATTTTGATGACGCGAACATGGAAATGAAGAAAGTTCGAGGGAGGAAACAGTCGAAACCAGCAAAAGTTAAAAAAGCTGGCAGCCATGGAAGCGTTGTCAATGAGGATGTTGTAACTGTCGACAGTGCGAACGAAGAGTTCAATTCGGATGCCGAACTGGTCCCAGATAAGACTAAGTCTAGTTTTGACTTAGTCTTGCCATCATTTAACACTTCGTCGCCCTTCAATAAAAATAATCAAATTTTTCTAAAAAACGAACCTTCTGTCAACACAGATGTGAGTGATAATGAGTGCCTTGACCTGAGTAACAAAACATCACAACTCAATTCCCAAGCGATTCATAACATAGGCGATAACTTCAACATAAATTATTTGTCTAACAACAGCAACATATGGAGTGTTCCCTATTCCAATCTACCTTCAAATATTTCTACCTTAAACTTGCCACTGCTTCAGATGGGTTTGTTGAGGAATGGTTCTTTAAATGGGTATGTTCCCCAAAGTTTTAAAGATTGTTTCAATACATTCGTGGCAAACCAGCCAGTCGTTTCATCGTATAGAAAAATTTTGCCGGCCACAGTTGCAGCAGCAACAGCAGACGTCACTAACAGCGGCGATAACTCTAATCTCAAACAACAATCTGAAGTACTCATCAGCAACAACAACAACAACAGCAACAACAGCAGCGGTAAGCGTTCGTTCAATGATATGATTATTGATAAGTTTGAATCAAAAACTGAAGAAGACTACCTCCTCGATTGTTTAAACGTAAACGGAAGAAAACGTCGGCGTCGTAGTTTAGAAGATGCTTTGACACTGGATGAAATTCACGAATACCTAGGGTCGAGGGATCGCCCTATGGATGATTCGTACACTTGCAAGGTCTGCGACCACGTCTCTCTCGATCTTCTGAAGTACTTCCACCACACCCTCACCAGCCACAAATCTTTCATATGCCACCAGTGCGGAAGGTGCTTCACCACAAAGAGCTCCCTCTTGCGACACAGACCCATCCACACGGGCCTGAGAAGATTTGCCTGCAGCATCTGCCAGAAAGCATTCTACAGAAAGGATAAGTGCAAGGCTCATATTAAGAAGCATGCAGAAGTTCAAGGCGATTCTGAAGCAAGTAACAATGTTCAAGTTTTATAAGGATGTATTTAAAAATCACTAGAATATTTGTGATAATGACGACGGTAATTGTTATTATGATGACGGTGATGATGGTATGATGGTGCAGATGATGCCTATGGTAATTATGGTGATGGCTTTGATATGGTTAAAGTTATTTGAGTAATAACCAAAAGATGGCATTGAAGTCATTAATTCCTCTTTGGTTGAATGAATTAAGTGTTGGATTCTTTTAAGGCGTGATGTAATTCAAGTTTGAATTTGCTTTGGAAAGGCTGTATTTTATGTTTTTTTAAAATTTTGTTGCTTGTATTAGCTACCCATGTGATGTGGTGGATATTTTTTTTATATGTAATTCACTTAGTGTCAATGCAGCTGTTAATTTTAGCAGAACGTGTAAATAACAGATTGGATTTGTTTCTTCAAAACTGAAGTTGTTATGAATTTTATTTTTTTAAATTTTCTTGTTTAGTTTCTTTAAATGGATTGTAAAAATCAGCCAAACAAAATCAAAATTCTATTTGTTTAAATTTGAATTCAAATTTTAATTGTTTGTCATATCTTATAGTCAATGAGTTTTTCATCGCTGGGATATTAAATTAATCCTTCTTTCGTCTTGTGATTTTTGTTGAAAATTTTTGAAAAATTGAACGATGTTTCTTATTGGAAAAATTGTTTGATGTCTATTATTATTTGGTTTCGAGTCATGGATTTCATATGAAAAGAGTTTAAAGAATGATGTGACAGCTGTGACGCTCTGGTCAAGTATTTCCTCCTCCTCTCGCCAAGGTCATCATGCCTGTGACTTACTGTTTTGGAGTTCATTTCTTAAACCTTTTTTGAAATATTTGTAGACAGTTGAATCATTTGCTTTTTAGTTTTTTACACACACACAGACAAAGTTATATAGTAAAATAGACACAAAAATTCATATATACTCACACACAAACATACACACACACTCAGACACACACAGACACACACATATATATAGAGAGAAAGAGAGAAAGAGGGAGAGGGAGGGGAGAGAAAGGCTTTTTTGTGATGATAATTCGTTGGAGTTTAATTTACAATAATTGTTGTAGGGGCTTGTTTTGTTAAATTAAAACTGTCTTCATAATGATTTTTCTCTTATGTTTCACGATTCTTACATAACACTTTTCTTGCATTTTCATTGAGTTTATGAATGTTTATGAATGATATATAGCAATAAGTGATAAATACACTTATATTTGGATCTATTTCTTTGTAATGTATATTTATATAATGGTCTGAGTTATTTAGTTATTTATGCTTAATCAAGCTTTCGCGATTGGTTATTTGTTGGTGCTTTCGTCCTGAGTGCTTGCTCTATCATCCCAATGAACTGCAGGTTAGGGCTGGCTGGCCGGTGGAAATGTTCAACATGTTTATTCCACTCTCTTTCATTCAAAATCATCAACAATTTTGCATTTAGAATCATCTTTGCCATAAATTTTGATTTTTAACTAAGAATATTCAGACTACCGTGACATAACTTACATAAGCCCTTACATGAGAACACTCAACACACAAGACTATAGCAGACATGCGTTTTGTAATCAGTTGTTTTTTTACTAAATATTGTTAGAGCTGGCAATTAATTACATAGTAAACTGTTTTTGTTAATCATCTATTTAGTATAATAATATTTAAATCAGGATATTTGTATTTTCTCTCGCAATTTCTCTTTCTTGCTTTTTCTGAAACAACTGTTTTGAATGGCGACGAGGTAACTTTTAATCTGCAAATGACATAAGCTGTTAAGTAGTCATAGAATTTAAACAGCGGTCTTCATTGACTTCATTGACCGTTCACTTGATTTTCTATTTGAGGCTGGACTGTGGTTAATCACTAACCATGGGTCATTAACATTTTTGGAATTGTCAAACATAAATGCATTTCACGATCAACCAACTTTTTTGATGTATCCAACACTCGATCCATCTACTATCACTTTACTTTTGGTCCATCAACTTCTGTCTATCTATAATAACTTTCCATCTGATGATCAGTTTGGGCCGGTGACGGCCTAACGTTTAAATACGCCTGGTTCTCTTCTCCTAAATGATTTCAAAAAAGGATTAACTTCTACCATATGCAGTAATGTTTTTGATTAGTGGTTAGTTAAATTTTTACATAAGCTGAAACGGACAATCATATTCGTTGTTATTAAAAAGAACTTGTATAGCGCTAATTATATATATATATATATATATATATATATATTTATTATTATATATATTTATATATGTATATATATAAATATATTTGTATATTTATTTTATATGGTTTTAGTCACATATTATGTAAATATATTAGGGCTTTTAGTTATTTTTTATGTAATTAATGAGTTGTTACATTATGTGAGTGTGTTTATTATTAGCATTTGAAATAATCCTATTTGCCAGGGTACTCTATCTGTTTCTGTCTGAATTTTGAATTTATTTGTTCAATTAATTAATTAATTAATTAATTAATTATCATTTATTTCGTTATGAATTATATTTTCTTCATTTGTAACGTTCAATTAATCATTTCAAATACGGACTTTAATATTTCATCGTAAAAGGATTCAATTGTTTTGTTGTCATATCGTGGAACGCTGTTCTTCTATTTATTCTTCTAGATGATTTAATTTTTTTATAATTGTATTATTATTTATGAGGTATTATTATTATTATTATTATTATTATTATTATTATTTTTATATTAATATAATAATAATATTATTATTATTATGTTAATATAATAATAATATTTTTATTATTATTGTTCTTCTCTTTCACAGCTTTCTTGTTGTTATTTTCCAGGATATTATTAGAATATTATTATTATTATTATTATTATTATTATTATTATTGATATTATCAGAGATGAGTTTTAGTACAATATGGTTTTTGTTGTAACATTTGTCAAGCCTGTTATTGTCATCGTGCGAAGAGTTTCGTTATTGTAACTGTTGGTTATGGTGTAAGTAGGTCTCCTACCTCCAAGATTTGTTTAAAAATTTGCAATGCTTTTTTTTATTAACTGATTGATAACCACCCACTGATCAAAATTCACCATTTTATTGAATATCTTACGGCAGCATCACGCCTTTGCTACCTCAAAATTTTTGCGCTTGTTATTTTTTGAAAAAAATAATATAAATTTCATTTTTTTTTAAATTTAATAGTTTTTTTGTAAGATCTTTTTTTTTTATCTTAACTTTCCAAACTTTAAGAATATGGTAATTTGCGTTATTTTTAATGATGATTATTATTTTTCTGAAATTTATTGTCTACTTGAAAAGTACTGAGTTCCTTATTAAAATGTATTGGATTTTTGTTAAGTTTTCCAAATATTTGAAATTATTTTTTATTATAATTTCAGCTTATCAATGAGTTATATTCAAGGTTAACTTTTACATTGTAATGATGGAACGTAACTTGGTCTGGTCCGTGCCTTTTCTCCTTAAACTTCTTTTTCCATAGAACAATTTGTTCAGTGTCAGGTTTTCATTATACCATTGAAGTCGAAGTTGAATCGTTACAGTTTTATTGATTTTATTAATAATTTATCGTTTAATTAAAGTCGCTAGAAGCTTCAATTACTAAGTGCCATTGATTATTCACTTTAATAATTACCTACGTTTAACGTTAACAATTTTTAGGTTATGCAGGTGTGTTGGTATTTTTACAAAATGTATATTAAATTATCTTTAATTGCTCTCGATTGCGTACGGAACGTACACACACACACACTACACACACACACACACACACACACACACACACACACACACACACACACACACACACCAACACACTCATCTATATATTTATATATATATATGTATGTAAAATTTTGTTCTTGTATCAACTAATTATGAGCCAAGTATTCCATTAAACATTTGTTTCTTGTGATTAGTAGTAATAAGAGTAGTCGTTTGTTTTTGAGAATGCAGATTATTTGAATCACTCGTTCATGATGTCGTGTTCGTGTTTCTTATTTCACTTCATTTTTTTTTATTTGAATCTAAATTTCTGAGTTCATTTTCTACAACATGTTAGTGTAATTTTAATTTAATCTGCAAAAAATTGATTTTGAAATTTATTTAGATACTACAATACTATAAGTAAGTGTATTATTCATTATTGCACGGTACAGCAATCATTGGGCGATTGTTAGCGTCAGGTTTTTCGTTTCCGATTATTTAACTGGCAGGTATTTATATAACACGCAAACTAGTTTATTATTGTTCAATGGATATTATTGACATTGATTTATAAAGACCCCAAGTTCTCTTTTATATCGAATATTAATAAGGTTTAATATTAATTCTATGCGATCTTGGTTAAAGACTCATGCTCACCAATAAAAGAAAACTGAAACTTAGAAAATTGTAATCAAACGAGGGAAGTTGGTTCGTGCACATGTTCAATTTGTGTTTGTGTGCATAATGCGACAATAGTCACTCAGAAAATTTTTTTATTGTTTTTTTTTCAACCATTCGACAATTTGTATGCTTTGACCGCTACCTATGGAACTGTTCAAAAATTTCTCAAAAGATCGTTCGCAAGGTTTATTCCGTTATAACGAGGGAAAGAATGTCGACCTCGAAATAATCTGTAGCATATCTATCTATCTATCTATCTATCTATCTATCTATCTATCTATCTATCTATCTATCTATCTATCTATCTATCTATCTATCTATCTATCTATCTATCTATCTATCTATCTATCTATCTATCTATCTATCTATCTATCTATCTATCTATCTATCTATCTATCTATCTATCTATCTATCTATCTATCTATCTATCTATCTATCTATCTATCTATCTATCTATCTATCTATCTATCTCATTCATCCGTACTAACGATCAATCAGAAAAATACGCACAAAATTATCTCGAGGTCACTGCGGCTTCTATAATATTGTCTCAAGTTAATTTAATTATTTT